ATAATGGTCATACTTCAATATATCATGATATATTTGAAATTTAATCTTTGTTGTGTCCGAAAGTACAGTAAAATAAAAGTATGATCTTCCCTTAAAATCGTTCATTTGTTTATGAAAACCTTGAATTTTGTTGATTTTTTCATCAATCTTGATCGTGATAGATCAGGCAACGCATTATTTTGATAGTGAAAGATAATGCGTGACCAGACTTAATAATCAGAAATCAATATTTCTTTTAACATTTGATATACCTGCAACTGGTTGAAGCCTGTAACTTTTTTGATAAGAACGAACATGAAAGCTATCATTTGTTTTCTAAATTCAACACTTTATCTCTAAAGTTAAAAAAATTTAACTTAAAACGTGTCTAAATCAGTGTGAAAAATTCAGCTCTGAGAATCGGACTAGTACAAATCAGGCAGACCGCCATTATTTAGCCAATAATATGGGTATGCAACGTTTAAACCAAAAAGTTAACCATCAACCAAAAACCTTAAAGCAAAAACAGCATCTTTCATGAAATATTTGAGATTGAACGATAACCAACATTTTGTTATATGTATCTTTGTATACAACGTAGCAGATGTGGATTGATTTCCAATGAGATAACTATTATATTACATAATAAAGAATACCAGAGCGCAAATGCTGAAATGTCTCGTCTGCTTTACTTATGATAGTATATTTGTTGAACTTCTGTAATATTAAGGCTTTTACTAGAAGTGTCACATACTCTTAAAATTGTCAATGATTCATTAAAAAAGGTCAAGGTCAGATGAACCATGATATACAGATCTCTACAAAAATCCCGTACACCAAATATAGGTGTTCCGATGCTTACAGTACCTTAGAAACTGACAAATGTAAAAGTTATGTTTGGCCAATTAATTCGGAACATGAGGTCGAAAGTATATGAACCCTGACCGACAGTCAGACACAGACATCTTACTATCATTCAATATATCAAATACAATTGACGTCATATTTGAAACATGCAGACAGACATGTACACCATACACCAAATACCGTGGCCCTATAGCATACAGGTATGTAAGCTTTATAAATATAATGGGCATAAAAATGAGAATTCAAAGTTATAAATACAAAATAAAACATCTTAATGTATAAAAAAACAATACTTATGAAGGTATCTTATCTTTATCTGAGCTTAATGCAAAACAGTGAGATAATCCTAGTTTATCTGAGATAATCCTAGTTTATCTGAAATAATCTAGGATTATCTATAAAAGTGGTTCAGGCGTGCCATAATAAATGTAACGTTATTCTAATTGTCCAATGACTAATTAGGAAAATTGACCTATTTCTTGCTGGAAATATAATGTTGTATTGGTTTAATTTCGATTAGTGGTGGATAGAAATAATTATTATTTCTTTTAGCCGGAATGAAACATTTTTCATAGAGATAATTGACTTACTCATGTGAAATAGAAATGCACTTATTTTTGTTAAGTTCAAGGAACAGTAAATGGAATATGTCACAGATGTGTGTAACATATTGCTTAGACACATTGAGCTCTAACTGAATAAAGATAAAAGCATTATAAAACTGCTAAATTTACTAAAATATCATCGAAAGGAAATCCTTTAAATAAGTAAACATTTGTATAAAATGCACGTAAAAGTTTGGAAAAGTTATCGAATTTATGCTGTAGCAAAAATTTATCAAATTTATGACAAATTCGTGGAATGGTTTTGAAGATAGCATGATTTAAAGACAGTTTGAAGATCGTTTTTTTCGCCGATTCTAATGCTTTCTATACAAATGAACATTGATTTTGAAAGAATATATTCAATAAAATAAAAGAGATTAATACATTATTTTTTCTATCTTTAGTTAAAGTGCAACATTCTACTGTTGTATTCAGATTCTTATAAAAAAATACGTGTCATGACCAATTTATTTGAATGTCCTTAATAAAATGCGAATACATGCGACACATGTCTTTTTTCCGTTGTTACTATATTTAACGATTAATGTGCATGTTTCATAAATGTACATAAAATCAAAATAGATTTGAAATAAGTGACGGTGTAAAATTTTGATGTTTTGTTAAAAATGTATATTGTAAGATTATATTATAAGTTATACTGAAATGTTCATGACTTACGAGATGTTTTTATCGTAAGATTTTTTATGAAATGAGTCGCTGTTAACTTCGGTGAGTTGTTTTACGTATATGTATTATTGTATTTCCTTTCTATTATATTTCAGAAATCGTTTGATCTGAGACATGCAACAGAAATGAAATCAAGACGAGTTATTTTTACTCATTGGTCAAATTTTATTTATCATATATCATCTACATAAGCCAAGAAGTGTTTACAACATACGATTAGAGACGAAACCAGTGTGGCGAATCAAATGGCTTATACAACAGACTTTATTGACATCAACATAGGAAATATATTAAAAAACGCTAAACTGTATTCCAGAATGAATATGGAATCAAAATTTGAAACCTCTGTTTTCTCAATGATTAAGTGTTCCCCTGAATATTTACATCATTGCTGATAGCTCAAACTACATCCTTACAGAAAAGAGAATGTTGTTGTAAGTATTTAATTAAGCTCTACGTAGGATATGACTATAATTCACGGAATTATAACATATGAGCTGCGTCAGATAGAAATCGATCTTATGTATGTGCACTTTTACATGTACATGAATCAGACTTTGATTGATTTCGGAACATTCAAATATGAAATAAAAGATGATTCCTGGTCTATTTTGCAGGGTTTCATATATCAACTTAATTTTCAAACAGGTACAAATTTTTAATAGAGATTTTTTCAACCCGAAATTGGTTAACAGATGTATTGATTATCATTTGCATATGCTCGTTTCTATCCGACGCAGCTAATATATATTACTAGTAAAGAATGTGGGTAATTTGCGTAAATATTTTGTTATTTTGTCGGAGGTCAGGTAATACATGAAATACTTAGATAAAACCTATAGGCAATGAAGTCACTATATAAGCTATTTTACAAACCGTTATGGTCAGAGAACAGTAAATGGACTATGTCACATAGGTATGTAAAAGTTTGCCTGCAATTTGAACACGTTGGGCTTTAACTGAAAAACGAAATAATACAGTAAAACTTGTATGTAAAATTTGTGGTAAACTTTCTAAAAGATAACTTTTAAACATCTATTCTCAAATCCTAAACCAAAATAGTTTGTAATTACAAATCTAAAAATTATTGCCCATTTCTTGAGGCCTCTAGCTTAGAAGGAATGCACATCTACATTAACAATAATTATGATAAATTATATTTCAGGTTATAAAGTTAGATGATGAAGACTTGGCAAAGAGATCTTATTATATCATCAAAGACATCAAGCCTTACTTCATAAATTCAGATTTGGCGAATTATCAAGACTCCTTTTTCATTTTATCTATTGTCATGCACAAACTAATGCCAGATACAGTACACAAAATCATTCTGCTAGACTGTGACATAAAGTTAAATAACGATATTATCGAACTTCACAAATTATTGGATAAATTTTCCGATACAAATATAATTGGTATAGCTAGAGAAAACCAACCAGCTTACAGACATGTGATGTCCAAATATCGCAAATTACATCCGGGAACTCGCATTGGTGAGCCACCTCCAGATGGAATAACAGGATTCAATGTACAAAAAGATGTAGGCGTTATGCTTTTAAACTTGGATAAAATGAGAAAATCGAACATTTACAATCAATTTATAAATGTTATGTTTAGAACACAAAGATTTATTTCATATTTTACCTTGTACATAGAATAGACCGTTATGTACTGTCTATAGAGACAAATTCAAAGAGTACAAATCTGTTTTTGACCTTTACTTCAACTATGAGGGTCATATCAATATATACTATGGTAACTGTTGTATGCAAATTCCTAAATTAGAATGGCAAGAATAAACTATGACTTAGCATCTTAATTGTGTGTGAGAACAAGAAGTTCAAAACATTTTTGTCATTAAAAGATCCATTATCTATCAAATATTCGTTCATTCTTGTATTTAAATTCGAAAATTTTGATTAATGATTATATAGGATTGTGTTTTCTGACTATCAATAAAACAGAGGCCCAAGAGGTGTAGTCAATGAATGTGATGAATGCAATGCATGAGCTTTGGGCAGTTTATCATTTTTAGTACATTCTACAAAACGTTCACAGATAACTTCAGCCTTTTACTGTAGAGAGTTGAGACTCGCTCTGCTCATTCGACAAAAATTGCATTGTACCTGCGATCTTGTATTTTTAGGAGTTTTATAGAGTTGTAAATGAGGGGCATGAAAAATGTGCTTCGGTCAACATATAACTACAAAAAGAACTATTCCATTCTTAAATAACATTCACATACAAGAACAATGTAAAAATTTATAAAAGTGTATATGCTTGTATGTTGTAGAATCCACATCATTTCACAATAACTTATAAATAAACTCATTATAAATACCAGGCTTTAAAAAAAATACGCCAGACGCGCATTTTGTCTACAAAAGACTCATCAGTGACGCTCGAAAAGAATTAAGCCCTCCGTCTATTTTTTCTTTTAAAGATGTAATCCACTAACTGTCCTGACTGCTTACACTGCTAATATTTACACAGTTATCAATTCTAACAGACGCTTATATAGAAGCCTTTACCATTCGATGAATTTGAAATATGCATCTAAATTGTGTATAAAGGATATTAAGATTGCTGTGATATTTGTCTCATTTGTTAATATGGTATAAAACAAACTGGTCATACCTTAGGTATACAACGTCCACCAACAGTGATATCGACCCACTGGTTGTGCACACTCACCGAAGATACCAGGCTTACGATTTGTAAGCTATTTTCTTTTACATATATCATGTTGAGGCTTTACTATCTAAATACGTCAAAATGATTTTCACCTCGTTAGGATATATTTTAGGTATTCTCCCATGCAACCATGGTTATCACGACACTAACCCTATTAAAAGTTACTACCTTTTGTTTGTTTTAGATATTCCATAGCGGCTTTTGTTAGCATGAATTGTGCCTTAACATTGGTGTCAAACATTTCATCATACTCTTTATCTGATGTATCTTCGATTTTCAAGAAGTGCACCATTCCTGCATTATTAACCTACAAATCACACAGAAATAACATTAAATTTCACTTCTCAACAAGGTTTATGACTGACTATAATAAGACAGCAACCATTCCTCTTTTGTGGTGGGCGAGGGTTTTTTTTGTAGGGGGACAAGCTTTTTTCAACTTTAAAATCAAAACTTTTTTTTATAACATACAGAAACAAGATTTTTGTAATCAATGTTTATTTGAAATTATTATTTCAAAAAATCTAGACCCAAACAATTTATCATGCCACACAAAATATGAATGGTCTGTATCTTATGGTCTTTCATAGAAAGTAATAGTATGTAACTACTTCTACTTTAAAATAAAAATTACAAAACTAGGAAGCAAATTGACAAAACTAATAATATACCCGTTATATTCCTAAGTAAAACCTCTCTAAGGATATTAGAACCGACATTTTTAACCGTTCCTTTGCATACTTACTAGACAATGGAATTATTCGGAACTATCATCACTATATGTTAATGCATGTGGTCAAGTGGACAAACAGCTACATCCTAGGTGGTGAAAAAACTCATCATAGATACCAGGATTGAAATTTTGTACGCCAGACGCGCGAGACTCATCAGTGACGCTCAAATAAAAAAAGTTAAAAAGGCCAAACAAAGTGATGACTTAGGGAGGAAATAGAACAAAAGCTCCAATCTTAATAAAATCCAGGGTCAAATGTTAAGGGCAGATTCAAGAATTTATGACTTCTGTCGACACAGAGGGTTGACATGAGTAATGTCTTATTCTGCTTTTATTTAAATACAGATGATAAACCAATTCGAATAAAAAGCCCTATCTTATAATTTCTACAAAAATCTGAAACCAAATTTAATATAAAGTTATCCAGAACAAACATTATCAGCAATAAAAGATCCACAAAAAAGATTGTTTGGTAATGAATTATATCCTAGTCTATAATGTTGGAGAGTTGTCATTGTCGCAGATGCACATCGATTTAGATGAGCGACACAGGCTCTTTAGAATACGAAATTTGAATTGAATTTAACGAGGAACGCTCAAATCGAAAACATAATAAATAAAGCCTGGGGTGTTAAAATATTTGATGAGCTATTTGACCAAAAGGAACTAAAAGAATAACAAAAAAAAAACGTCTACACGAGTTGGAACCATGGCATTGTCAGTTCGATTTCGACTTCTGAGTTTCTTCTGAGTATCTTCCGCCTCTCTTTAAGTTTCTAATAATTTCTCAATATAGTAATTCTAAAAATGTATACATGTTATAAATTATGTCACATGCGAAGCATCGACTACTGTAAAAGAAGCGAGTAAAATATTTGATTGGGAAGGCTGTTGCTCGTATTCAATTTTACCTAAATTAAATGTTTAAATGTTGACATGTTAATGACACCATTCTGGCATAATATATGATATCATGGAACAAGACTGACAACAATAGATCACAAAATATACACATTGTAAAAGGGGCGGTTTAATCATATTATCAAAGTCATCGTCCTCGAGCCTCGTCCTTCATGAATTTTCAGATACAAATGTTATTTTTATAGCTAGTGCAAATCAACTAGCTTCGTACGTACAATGTTAACATTTCGGGAATCACACCATAGAAAAAGTATTAGTGAATCGGCAAAGATGGAATAACAGGATGTAATGCAGGCATTTTTTTTAGACTTGGATAAAATAAGACTATCTAACCTTTACGACTTTTTTTTTAAATCCCAAGGTTTATAAACAAAATACATCCCAAAACTTTCTTTCTATTAAAGGAAATTTGGCTCATCAAAATTTCTTCTGTTTGTTATGTAACGAAGAGTTATTTTACATTCTACCTTGTTCATAGATTTGACAGTTGTGAATAGTATTTAGATACAAATTTAAGCAATGCAAATCTTTATGTTTTATCTTCAATTGAATTGCGAGGGTCATATTGATATTTTCCATTGTAACTGTGATACAAAAGTTCCAAAGTTGGAATCGGAATTATAAGTGTCTTGTTGCATTACAATGGCGTACCAGATCTACTGTGAGCTATTGCACACTAATGAAATCTCCGCCATAAGTATTCAGTAAACAGGAAGTTGGAGGAGTGAACGCATCATATCGTGCTCAAATGACACTTAATACTAAATGTCAGGACTCTCTGATTTGTAGTTAACGAGGAAACTGCGACGACAATGTCATGGGACAGACAAACGTACGAATGGATAGAGGTTGACCTTTATACAAAATGTATTGAAAGAAGACATATCCACCCTTTCGCCAAATTATAGATGTCTCTTCATGTGACTGGTTGCGAAGAGTAATTAACAGTGTTCAAATATACTTGTGATTACCAAATTATGAATCGTTAGCAAAGTGACTAATTACATGTATATTTGTTAAATGTAATTGATATAAAAAGTGAACTTACGAGTACATCTATCTTTCCGTATTTCTCTATAGCACCAGATAATATTCTTGACTGGTCAGCTTTATCGGTAATATCTCCTACAACCGACCCAATCTGAAAATAATCAAAATTATCTGAGAAAAATCTGAATTACACAGCATGCTTTTATTCATTTTTATGTCTTTTTACTGAAATATTTACTAAACAGTTGTGAAACTATATATTTAAAATATAACTTCTACATTTTGAAAATCAGATGGCTTTGTCTTTACCAACTTCTGATGGAATGGATATTTAACTGCACTATATATATTGAAAGTGGTCATAAACTGCAACATATCCATTGAAAGACATAACATTAAAGCGCTGTTCCTTTGCTTTTTGTGTGTTTTTTGCAGTGCATGTACTGATGTTGTGTCATGGATGGATACCCCATATCCTTTGCTTTTTTCTATTATAAACTATATTTACTTTGTCCGTTTCATCCATCCGACGTGAGTTATAACTTTAAATTTAGTGATAAAAAATGTCTAAATTTACACCTAAAGGATTAAATAGGATATGTCCGTAAACGAGACGAGACGTACGCCTTTACATTACGAGATACACAAATATACGCTTTTTCGGTCTTCCCTGTTTGACCGCTAAAGTCGGTTCATTATGTATTACATATCTTATCAAATCCTCTTCCGATTAGCTTTTAATTTTGACTTGCGAATAGATAATAATAAATGCAATTTGAGAACAAATATAGGTTGGAACTGGATGAATTCATTCGCATAACAACATTTAAAAGCCAGCTGATCACGTCGTTCTATAGCTATATTTCAAGGAAAAATATAACATTACATGATAGTGTTTTTACATATTTTTTTTTATTATTTACATAGGATGCATTCTTGCCTACTTATAACCAATAGCGTCCTTTTGGAGAACTTGCCAAATATTGAAGAGTTCCAAAAGAAATGGGATAAATTCCCATAACCAATTCTTTAATAGCAGGGGCACATCTTCACCAAGTGTGCAATGTTTCTGTGAAGTTATATGGATCTGGGCTGTAGGAGGAATTGATTCAAAAATTTAGAAACCCACTTAACCCCGACCGCTCGACATCACCATACTATAACCCTTACAACCGGGCTGTATTTGCCAAAAATCGATGTCGGTGAATGAGATGCCAAAAGCTTTTTTTTTTTGTGGTCTGACTTTTATGTGTTCAAAACTTACATTATCACTAGGTAACCCTAACTGCACACATTGGTCTTTTGTCTTTTGTAAATTATCTCCATTTCTGCCAGTAATAAACAGTTTAGCCCCTAATTTGGCGAAGTGCAGTGCTGTTCCTTCACCAATGCCTGAACTAGCACCTACAAGAAAATACACGTATAAAACTTAAATATACATATATAAAACTTTTGCATCTAGAAAATATAAAAAATATACTATGGTCTAGAGTAAATGTACAGTAGTTTCCCTAGTATTCAAATGGACTTTGTTGTTTGCAATGCATAGAACCATTTTTGTTTTCTGACACTATAAGTTAATGAATAAGGTTACTACAGCGCTATGCCAGTCGAAAATATAAAGCTGCAGATTAAGAATGGTGATGTTAAGCATGCATAAAGATACGATTCAACAAATCTGTGGAAAAGGTTAATGCTAATTGCTGATAGCATTACAAAATTGGTATTGTTAAGTGAAGTAGCGGCCAGGGACAGACATCTTAACGAAAGTAAGTACATTCCGGAAATCTCAAGACCAGGATGACATTACAATTCTTGCATTTGTTTTCACTACCATTTAATCCACCTTTCAAGTTACTTGAAAAAAAAATATATTGACTTTTACCAGGAAGGATAAAGGTACAATGTACGGAAAGACTAAGGATTGTTTGGGCTATTCAAGGCTTTGATTTCGTATTATTACCTAATTGGTACTACTGGCCATATTCTGCATACACCAAAAAAGAATCTTCTTATTTGATAAAACATCCAGATAGACTTTGCTGAATTTATTCACGTAGACCACAAATTTATTTTTATTCATTTACAACTTATAGACGCATTTTGTTCTTTATGCCATTGGGTTGTTGGTCTTATTGAGGTAAACCATTATCTCCGTATATTTAGATGTAAAAGATTAACCATACCTTTGAAATTTGCTAAAGAAAAAAAATTACACATATCTTATTTTCACTACATCTTGACGGAAGATATCCTGCTACCATTTAAAAATAGGGTTATATAGGGTACAACCTGGGGAAGGGAGTTGTGGTGGGCTTCAGTCCAAGTTCGAAATTTTTAGAAGAAAAATAGAAGGGATTCTCCTCTGGTTCCGCCACAGGTTTCCTCTTGCAGACATGTTTTCAACCGATATGAACGACAACTTAAAATAAAGACATTTTATGAAGGAGCTTCTAAAATTTCATTATTCAATAGAAAAATAAAAAAGTTATGGTATGCTTGCAAATGAGACAACTTTCCACCAGAGATTAAATAATTGACGCAGCAGTTATCAAATATAGGTCACCGTACGGCCTACAACAATGAGCAAAACCCTATACCGCATAGCAAGCTATAAAAGAAAACTAACGGCCTGAAATTTGTAGAAAGCAATAAACGAAAAACAAATATATACAGCAACAAAAGAAAACCACTAAATTACAGCCAACTGACTTGGAACAGACACACACAGATTGTGGCGGAGTTACATGCAGTGGCGGGCGCCCAAAAACACCCCCAACCTTGGACAGTGGCACAACAGCAAGACATCAGAACAAACTATAAACATCAGTTGAACAGAGTTTGTTCAAAAATGGTTAGTCTCAGAAAAGCAAGTGAAAATGTCATTTCTGTTAAGAATCGATGGAGACCTATGCAGTAATAAAGTCATCATAAAGTCTAATCGATCAGCACAACAAAAGAAATCCTAGTGCTTTGACGATTTAAAGATTTGGCCTAGTTATTTCAGAGAAGAAGACTATATAAAAGTTGACCGTGAAAGGTCAGACCCAACAATTAACTATATTCACAACGATTTTCGTCTAATCGGAATAAAATCACCAATTTTATAATGGACCTTCATACATTAATCTGGCCGTTTTCGTGCAGACTGAAAAAGAAATTACAGAGACGAAAGTGAAAACTGTATTTAACGAGAATGTGGTGGCATCTATGCCGCTAGGTATATACAACTCAACCACCGAAAATTAGGGATCTTTGTAGAGGTTTTCGTCGTGATTTCTTAAAATGATACTCATTAGATGACAAAAAATGGCGATGATGTCTTCAAAAGTAGCGCGGCTGGTACTTTGGCGGTACTAACTACAAACTGCACGTTTGGTCTTTGGTGGATAACTGTCGCATTGACAATCATATCAAATCTCCCTATTTTTAAGTAACTGAATCAAGATTTGTTCAATAATTGTCGCCTTCAACTGCTCACAGTTACTTGCTGTTTCAAGTGATGCCCAAGACATATGTGCCAACTATGCTCCGTAACTGCTTCCGTTTAAAACATCATTTAAACACATGTGTTTTGTTATTTTCCTTGGCATTTTCAGTTTGTTTTCGACTTATGAGTTTGAATATCCCTCTGGTATCTTTCGCCTCTTTTTAAAAGGGACCCACAGTGGCACAGTGGTCTAAGTAGTTCATCAGAGATTTTTTTATTAGAAAAATATTTTATATCAGACAATCCTGTTATTAAAGTAATAGATAACCATGCATAAATATGGCAATAGTTTAAGACTATACTAGTTGATATGTAATAGAATTAACAAAGAGGTAGGGCCAATTTCCGCTGAATTTTTTTCACAGAAAGGCCAATTTCAAAAAGTGCTGAAAGAATAAAATTTACGATAAAAACATGAAATAAAAATGTTTTTTGGTCAATATCTCGATTTTTATGTATTATCTTATGTCTGGAAAATAGTTAATTTAACCTCCAAATAGGGATAAAAGTCAAATATGCAGAATTTACCGTGTTTTTTTGGTTGGAAAAACAGGGAATCCCCCTTGCAGGACATTTCAAACCAAAACAAAGTTATGTTTTTTGTTGTTGTTGTAATTTATACAACTTTTCCCCTCAAAAATGAAATTGGTTTAGTGTGTCCTTAATACCTAAAAAACAACTTTTTTAATGAAAAGTTGAACATCACTAAATTTTACCTATATAGGTGCTTAATATCGACTTTGTTGGCAAGAGTCGCCGTGTCTCCGTCGGTAGCGCTTAAAACTGTAAGTAATGGATTGTTTTTAAGATGGGGTTCAAATCTCACGCTAATTTTTCTCATTTTTTATGTTTGAAATATTAAAATGTTATGTTTCTATCACATTTTTCGGATGTTTCTTTAATTCAAAGAGTCACACTGAAGTAGGTGCTTGTACATAACCAATAACACGAGAATTGATTATATAGCAATGAAGCCCAAATGTTGTGTGTGTTATACACATAACAAAAAAAAAGGCCTAAGCAGAAAAATTTTAAAACAACAAAAATATTTTTTTCTAAATCTTGAACGTTTTAGAAAATGGTATGATATTTAACAAATGCAGACAGTTATTTTATCGCCAATCCACCAACTGTGTAGATACTAGTACTGGTATTGTTACATTGTACCACCGTCCCTACACCGGAACCTAAGTCATCAGGAAATGAAACAACATCACAGAAAAAATCAATTACACTACCAATCGTGACTGTAGGTAAAACATCAAGAAAGTGTTGAATCTGTATCACAACAAAGGGTCGATCCATTTGGTACAATGACATGCAGAAAATACCAGATTACATGTGTTTGTTACGCAAGCCGTTCTAGTACCAACTGGTGTAAGCTGTTATCCGGTTTAAATAGACGGTAAACCTTAAAACCTGGAACAGTGTATAGATATGGATACATCCATATTGAGGAAAACAACATCCCAGTTAAATGCGTCCGATATTTTTTGGCTTCTTGGCATTAAAACAGAGACCGATCTTGAATTAGATTAGCAGATTTATATCAGATAATTAAATTATTAAATGTTTCTTGTATTTATATTTAACCCCCTTTTTAGGTGTAACTCAGGGGTATTTAGTTTTTCGGTATGTGCGTCCGTCCGTTCGTTCGTTTGTCCGTCCTTCCATCCGTCCCTTCGTTCGTCCGTCTGTCCCGTTTCAGGTTAAAGAGTTTGGTCAAGGTAATTTTTGATGAATTCGAAGTCCAACCAACTTGAAACTTAGTACACATGATCCCTATGATATGATCCTTCTCGTTTCAATGCTAAATTACAGTTTTTATCCCAATTTCATAGTTCACTTAACATAGAAAATGATAGTACGAGTGGGGCATCCGTGTACTACGGATACATTCTTGTTTAATATTTTGTTAGTTTTAAGTTAAAAAAAGTTGTGAAATACATGTACGCTACAAATCACCTACCAACATTAACACGCTAACTGAAGCACCATGTTTTTTTAAATACAAAACTAATTTTGAATATCTATTAGTTGATAATTCATATTTTAATGCTCCTCAGGGGCATTTACAAACAAAATAACGTTTTTGATAACAAAACAAAAACAATAGTCTTGGCCTTGATTATTGTAGGATTACCTGTTCAAGGTATGAAAATAGATGATGTGACGTGTTTTAATATACTATAATAAGAATTTATCGGGTTATTTAAAATCATGATTTACCTAGCTAATCCAATGAAAAAAACTCACGGGAAAATGGCCCTACCTCTTTAAAATTTTGTTGAATTGATTCAATTGCTTTTGATACTGTTTTAATTGACTACATGTAACTATTTGTTTGTGACATCAGGTACTGTCTGGTGAATTCATATTGTACACATTTTAATAAAATTTTATCAAGAGAAAAAGTAGTCCATCTAATGTATCAATAGCCTGTCAACTATGAGGTTGCGAGTTCGAACCATTATAGTAATGAAAGTGGCGTTAAACACCAACAATCAATCATCAATTAAAACAACATCCCTATTTTTATCTTGAAAAAGTTTTTTTTCGGTTTTTTTTTCCGATGAGATGGGAGGGTTGATTTATTTTGTTTATGTGTGTTTTGTTTAGTTTTTGAGTTTGGTTCTATTGTTTTGCACTGACTGTACTATTGATATTAGATAACACATACCTGTGATTACTATGATCTTTTCTTTCCAGTTCGTCATGGTGAAATTACTGAGAACTGACAACAAGTTCTGTATCAATTTAACAACGGAAGTGATACTGGCACAAGGATAATAGTTACGCTGAAAGGAAACACTAACAGAAACGGTTAAAAACAAGTCTTTACGCGACAAAAAATAATGCATTATTTCCGGTTGAAAGTGAAAGTAAGCTAAGATCAGTTCTTACAGGATAAAACTCCTTATTATTGTTGGCATCTACTATATGAATATGAGTTTCCCTTAATGTTAATGATTAAACTATGTTAATAGACATTGTAATGACAGTGTCAAAAAGGAAAGAAAAATAATAAAGTAGCGAAATGGATTTTGGTTACCTCTGGTCATCTTATACATATCACCTTATACATCCGGAGGATGACTTCAGGTGAGCACATCGGCAGCACGTTATTTTTATAAACAGAAACTTTACATATAATAGTGCTTCATTAAGCAAACATTACAAGGGATAATCAACAGAAACAAACTTCATGCAATTTAATCGAAAATATTACAACTTACAAGAGTCGAACATCATTGATGAGATTAATCAGTAGATAACAAGCTATCTTTAAATAGCTATATATTCCACAGTGTAAACAAAGAAAATGGCGGTGAATTATGAAAACCGGTAACTGTTATCTGAATTAAAAAAATCTATATACCTTACCATCAGCACCTTATAAGAAGGAGCAAAAGACAAACAATAAAATATTAATACCATTTGAAAACATAGACTTAACTATATATCGAGAAGCCGCATACTGTACCGTATTTGTTGTTTGCAATGCATAGAACCATTTTTGTTTTCTGACACTATAAGTTAATGAATAAGGTTACTACAGCGCTATGCCAGTCGAAAATATAAAGCTGCAGATTAAGAATGGTGATGTTAAGCATGCATAAAGATACGATTCAACAAATCTGTGGAAAAGGTTAATGCTAATTGCTGATAGCATTACAAAATTGGTATTGTTAAGTGAAGTAGCGGCCAGGGACAGACATCTTAACGAAAGTAAGTACATTCCGGAAATCTCAAGACCAGGATGACATTACAATTCTTGCATTTGTTTTCACTATCATTTAATCCACCTTTCAAGTTACTTGAAAAAAAAATATATTGACTTTTACCAGGAAGGATAAAGGTACAATGTACGGAAAGACTAAGGATTGTTTGGGCTATTCAAGGCTTTGATTTCGTATTATTACCTAATTGGTACTACTGGCCATATTCGGCATACACCAAAAAAGAATCTTCTTATTTGATAAAACATCCAGATAGACTTTGCTGAATTTATTCACGTAGACCACAAATTTATTTTTATTCATTTACAACTTATAGACGCATTTTGTTCTTTATGCCATTGGGTTGTTGGTCTTATTGAGGTAAACCATTATCTCCGTATATTTAGATGTAAAAGATTAACCATACCTTTGAAATTTGCTAAAGAAAAAAAATTACACATATCTTATTTTCACTACATCTTGATGGAAGATATCCTGCTACCATTTAAAAATAGGGTTATATAGGGTACAACCTGGGGAAGGGAGTTGTGGTGGGCTTCAGTCCAAGTTCGAAATTTTTAGAAGAAAAATAGAAGGGATTCTCCTCTGGTTCCGCCACAGGTTTCCTCTTGCAGACATGTTTTCAACCGATATGAACGACAACTTAAAATAAAGACATTTTATGAAGGAGCTTCTAAAATTTCATTATTCAATAGAAAAATAAAAAAGTTATGGTATGCTTGCAAATGAGACAACTTTCCATCAGAGATTAAATAATTGACGCAGCAGTTATCAAATATAGGTCACCGTACGGCCTACAACAATGAGCAAAACCCTATACCGCATAGCAAGCTATAAAAGAAAACTAACGGCCTGAAATTTGTAGAAAGCAATAAACGAAAAACAAATATATACAGCAACAAAAGAAAACCACTAAATTACAGCCAACTGACTTGGAACAGACACACACAGATTGTGGCGGTGTTACATGCAGTGGCGGGCGCCCAAAAACACCCCCAACCTTGGACAGTGGCACAACAGCAAGACATCAGAACAAACTATAAACATCAGTTGAACAGAGTTTGTTCAAAAATGGTTAGTCTCAGAAAAGCAAGTGAAAATGTCATTTCTGTTAAGAATCGATGGAGACCTATGCAGTAATACAGTCATCATAAAGTCTAATCGATCAGCACAACAAAAGAAATCCTAGTGCTTTGACGATTTAAAGATTTGGCCTAGTTATTTCAGAGAAGAAGACTATATAAAAGTTGACCGTGAAAGGTCAGACCCAACAATTAACTATATTCACAACGATTTTCGTCTAATCGGAATAAAATCACCAATTTTATAATGGACCTTCATACATTAATCTGGCCGTTTTCGTGCAGACTGAAAAAGAAATTACAGAGACGAAAGTGAAAACTGTATTTAACGAGAATGTGGTGGCATCTATGCCGCTAGGTATATACAACTCAACCACCGAAAATTAGGGATCTTTGTAGAGGTTTTCGTCGTGATTTCTTAAAATGATACTCATTAGATGACAAAAAATGGCGATGATGTCTTCAAAAGTAGCGCGGCTGGTACTTTGGCGGTACTAACTACAAACTGCACGTTTGGTCTTTGGTGGATAACTGTCGCATTGACAATCATATCAAATCTCCCTATTTTTAAGTAACTGAATCAAGATTTGTTCAATAATTGTCGCCTTCAACTGCTCACAGTTACTTGCTGTTTCAAGTGATGCCCAAGACATATGTGCCAACTATGCTCCGTAACTGCTTCCGTTTAAAACATCATTTAAACACATGTGTTTTGTTATTTTCCTTGGCATTTTCAGTTTGTTTTTCGACTTATGAGTTTGAATATCCCTCTGGTATCTTTCGCCTCTTTTTAAAAGGGACCCACAGTGGCACAGTGGTCTAAGTAGTTCATCAGAGATTTTTTTATTAGAAAAATATTTTATATCAGACAATCCTGTTATTAAAGTAATAGATAACCATGCATAAATATGGCAATAGTTTAAGACTATACTAGTTGATATGTAATAGAATTAACAAAGAGGTAGGGCCAATTTCCGCTGAATTTTTTTCACAGAAAGGCCAATTTCAAAAAGTGCTGAAAGAATAAAATTTACGATAAAAACATGAAATAAAAATGTTTTTTGGTCAATATCTCGATTTTTATGTATTATCTTATGTCTGGAAAATAGTTAATTTAACCTCCAAATAGGGATAAAAGTCAAATATGCAGAATTTACCGTGTTTTTTGGTTGGAAAAACAGGGAATCCCCCTTGCAGGACATTTCAAACCAAAACAAAGTTATGTTTTTTGTTGTTGTTGTAATTTATACAACTTTTCCCCTCAAAAATGAAATTGGTTTAGTGTGTCCTTAATACCTAAAAAACAACTTTTTTAATGAAAAGTTGAACATCACTAAATTTTACCTATATAGGTGCTTAATATCGACTTTGTTGGCAAGAGTCGCCGTGTCTCCGTCGGTAGCGCTTAAAACTGTAAGTAATGGATTGTTTTTAAGATGGGGTTCAAATCTCACGCTAATTTTTCTCATTTTTTATGTTTGAAATATTAAAATGTTATGTTTCTATCACATTTTTTCGGATGTTTCTTTAATTCAAAGAGTCACACTGAAGTAGGTGCTTGTACATAACCAATAACACGAGAATTGATTATATAGCAATGAAGCCCAAATGTTGTGTGTGTTATACACATAACAAAAAAAAGGCCTAAGCAGAAAAATTTTAAAACAACAAAAATATTTTTTTCTAAATCTTGAACGTTTTAGAAAATGGTATGATATTTAACAAATGCAGACAGTTATTTTATCGCCAATCCACCAACTGTGTAGATACTAGTACTGGTATTGTTACATTGTACCACCGTCCCTACACCGGAACCTAAGTCATCAGGAAATGAAACAACATCACAGAAAAAATCAATTACACTACCAATCGTGACTGTAGGTATAACATCAAGAAAGTGTTGAATCTGTATCACAACAAAGGGTCGATCCATTTGGTACAATGACATGCAGAAAATACCAGATTACATGTGTTTGTTACGCAAGCCGTTCTAGTACCAACTGGTGTAAGCTGTTATCCGGTTTAAATAGACGGTAAACCTTAAAACCTGGAACAGTGTATAGATATGGATACATCCATATTGAGGAAAACAACATCCCAGTTAAATGCGTCCGATATTTTTTGGCTTCTTGGCATTAAAACAGAGACCGATCTTGAATTAGATTAGCAGATTTATATCAGATAATTAAATTATTAAATGTTTCTTGTATTTATATTTAACCCCCTTTTTAGGTGTAACTCAGGGGTATTTAGTTTTTCGGTATGTGCGTCCGTCCGTTCGTTCGTTTGTCCGTCCTTCCATCCGTCCCTTCGTTCGTCCGTCTGTCCCGTTTCAGGTTAAAGAGTTTGGTCAAGGTAATTTTTGATGAATTCGAAGTCCAACCAACTTGAAACTTAGTACACATGATCCCTATGATATGATCCTTCTCGTTTCAATGCTAAATTACAGTTTTTATCCCAATTTCATAGTTCACTTAACATAGAAAATGATAGTACGAGTGGGGCATCCGTGTACTACGGATACATTCTTGTTTAATATTTTGTTAGTTTTAAGTTAAAAAAAGTTGTGAAATACATGTACGCTACAAATCACCTACCAACATTAACACGCTAACTGAAGCACCATGTTTTTTTAAATACAAAACTAATTTTGAATATCTATTAGTTGATAATTCATATTTTAATGCTCCTCAGGGGCATTTACAAACAAAATAACGTTTTTGATAACAAAACAAAAACAATAGTCTTGGCCTTGATTATTGTAGGATTACCTGTTCAAGGTATGAAAATAGATGATGTGACGTGTTTTAATATACTATAATAAGAATTTATCGGGTTATTTAAAATCATGATTTACCTAGCTAATCCAATGAAAAAAACTCACGGGAAAATGGCCCTACCTCTTTAAAATTTTGTTGAATTGATTCAATTGCTTTTGATACTGTTTTAATTGACTACATGTAACTATTTGTTTGTGACATCAGGTACTGTCTGGTGAATTCATATTGTACACATTTTAATAAAATTTTATCAAGAGAAAAAGTAGTCCATCTAATGTATCAATAGCCTGTCAACTATGAGGTTGCGAGTTCGAACCATTATAGTAATGAAAGTGGCGTTAAACACCAACAATCAATCATCAATTAAAACAACATCCCTATTTTTATCTTGAAAAAGTTTTTTTTCGGTTTTTTTTTCCGATGAGATGGGAGGGTTGATTTATTTTGTTTATGTGTGTTTTGTTTAGTTTTTGAGTTTGGTTCTATTGTTTTGCACTGACTGTACTATTGATATTAGATAACACATACCTGTGATTACTATGATCTTTTCTTTCCAGTTCGTCATGGTGAAATTACTGAGAACTGACAACAATTTCTGTATCAATTTAACAACGGAAGTGATACTGGCACAAGGATAATAGTTACGCTGAAAGGAAACACTAACAGAAACGGTTAAAAACAAGTCTCTACGCGACAAAAAATAATGCATTATTTCCGGTTGAAAGTGA